ATAAAGGAGAAAAAAACAAATTAAACACCAAAAAAATGTTAGATAAAGAATATAAGAAACTAACAAAACACACAGTGCAGATGAAACAAAATACTAACTCTGATAGCATCTATATTTTTCTGCTTGATATCTGCAGGAGAATGCAGTGAAGTAAACTTGGCTAATGAAGTCACAAAAGCATCTCTATGAGTCTTCATGGACATCACAGCAGTTACATGGATTGCATAGCGGAAACCTTCAAGACATAATGCTATAACTATTTCATCATCACTTTGGTCAAGAGGCACACTGAAGGCAGCCAACATAGGAGCCCAGCAAACCTCAACTATGAATCTCAGAACCACTACATCTGTAGCTGCATAATAAACTGACCTAAAAATTTCCAGTACAAAAGAAATCAGGGAACAATCAAAAACAAAGTTTCCTCTCCAAACATGAAATACCATATTTCTTAAAATGTGTCGTGCTCAGTCATGGGTGAAAATCTTGTTTAACAAACGACAGGGTAAAAGTAAAAAATGCCTGAAATAGAATAATATAATATTTACAACATATCAGAGCATTAATTAAGCTTGAACTACTTAAAAAATTGAATGAAAATACTTACTTAAATTCCACCTTATTCTAATGAATAAATGCATAAAATGATTATATTAAAAACAAAAAGGCACAGATAAAATGAGTTTAGCTAGTTATACACAGTCAAACGAGAATCTCTCCATATACGGGAGCACAAATATAAAAGCTTAAATTCTATAAAAAAAAGTATAAAAGCTTAAAAACCAATTAATCTTACTCGGATTTCCGAGCTTTCTCTTTAAATTGTTCTTGCATGTGCTTGATAAGATCATCACTGGTCTCCATATGCTGGTCATCATCACACTTGCGTATCACAATATTCAAGATACTGTCCAAACCTAATATTCTGTGGGAGTTCACTGAATGCTTCTGCTGCACAGACAAATCATCTTCTTTCATTTTGATCTCATTTCTCGATATTCGTTCATATAGTGATCTTAAGTACTCCTCTGGCAAATCCTTCCATCATCTATGCCACGATTGTTTCTTATGAAATCATCAGCTGACATCTGCACATATCAATAGGAAAGGGAGAACGACATCAATTTTCTTGCACTAAAAGCTAATCAGATAAGATATAGAATATATATGCACCTTGTTCTTAACCATTGGATTATGAGCATCTGTATTGAGCAATATAACAGAGTAAGCAAGGACATAAGCTGTATCAGCACTGATGAAAGCCTTTGGATTACATATGCAATAACGCTCAGAAAACTTTTCCATGATTTGATCAATCTTTTGAGCCTCACCAGGCAATCTAAAACCTTGCAGAAAGGCTCGAATTGCATCATCAAACTCCGTGCCTTGAAAGTCAAAGGAGTCAACATAGGCATGCATCACTTTAAGTGATAAATCTTCCCTTTCTCCAAGATAGTCACCAATCAATGTTTTGTTCAGACCAGATGCATTTTTAAGAAAAGCAGCAATCTCCTCCGGGAGTCACCAATTTTATTTGCTTTAATTAGAAATTCAATTCCTTTCTTAGGTTTCCAGTTAAAAAGTGATATACCTTCCTGCCACAAATTTTAAATTAGATTCCATGAATGACAATCAGCTAGACAAAGTCAGACCACTTAAACATACATCATCCCCATAAATACCTGAAGCTCAAGCTTGTAAGCTTGACATTGCTCGATTGTTAAAGCATCAGAAGTTTCACTCGAGGCTTCAGAATGAAAATCTGATCCTTCAACAGCCTCCTCTTCATTCCCATTTTCCATGGGGACATTTACGGGTTCAGGACTGTTCTCAATTGCTTCAAATCTCTGTGCAGAATGAGGATCTGGAATGCACAACTGTTTGTTCATCCAGTCTCCCATTGATTTTAAAATAGCCACTAAACATTTCAGAGCTTCAAGTTTCATTGTTGCTTCCTGAGATGGCAACAGCGTTGTAGCTGCACCACTAGGAACACCTTGATTCGTTTTCAAAAGTCCATTGACCATTCTAGAAAGAAGCGCAGTAAAAAATGAGAAATATGCAAAAGTCATTAACTTCTACCAAACATGTGGTGCTAAATTTGATGACATTAGTATAAAACGTACCTCTCAAAAATGTTTGATGAATTGACATCACAATCGTAGTTGAGAAAGATATCTACCAAAATCTGTGAATCAACACAAAGCTTGTCCAGAAAACGAAGAACTATCATCTTTTGCTGAAAATTAGGTTGAGCAACATTTTCCAGGACCCTGAGGACAATCATAGGAAAAAATACTCCAACCTCAGCTTTCAAGCCAGCTCGAAACCTTGACACCAGACTAATGAAAATGGAGCAAGAAAGCTGGAAAACAATTATAAGAGATGAAGCACTGTTCTTCAACAGTGACAAACACAGATATTGCTTTATGGCACCTAAAAACCTGTACCACCAGAAGAAAATTCTTAAATTCAGGAAACGGAAGTATAAATTCTTAAATTCAGGAAAAGGAAGTATCAGGACAGGTACTGTGAGCTAACCATAAGAAACTTTTCAAAAGGCAAATTGATCAAATTACAAAAATCAGATAAATGTGTGCAAAGAGGAAAAGTTAAAGATACCTTTCACTTGTCCTAAATACAGCTCCGGCATTCTCTAACAAAATCTTCAACAACTCAAGTGCCACAATCTTCCCTCTCATCAACTGGGGATCTGCCAAAGCCTCTTTTGGCGGTGTCTTCATTGACAACTTGCAAAGTGCTCTAAACACCAAAAAGGCATCCCTTCTCAACTTATTCCCAATCTGAACCTCCAAATCATCATCTCTCTCCACTTCACCATCCGCCAACTCCCCTTTCCTCTCTTCCAATGCTGTCTTATACATACTAATCTCCCAATATTTTGCATCCAACATATCTTTATCAGTAGAATCCAACAAGTCAGTTGGATTAGTGGTTTCAACAGCAGTGGTTTCAAATGCACCATCATGGCCACCTAAAGAAACCTTACTTGGTGCCGCTGGATTCAATACTCCATCAATGTCCTGCATAACTTTAGTTATAAAGCCTTGAACAAACTGAGTCATTGATCCATCAGCATCAGATTTCTCAACAGGTTCCATTAGTTCATCCACAACAATTGGTTGAATTGGAACAGAAGAAGAATCGGCCTCCATTCTACTAAAAATAATAACTAACATTTGAACCAAAGAAGCTTTTGCCGTAGTTTGATTAACTACATATTTACTCCCTAAATAAATGTCATAACAAGTTCTCACAACTAGCAACAAACAATCACCATGATTCGGAGAGAGATGGATGTTACCGCCGATAAAAGCGTTTTCAAGACTAGTAATTCAACAGCATCATCGCCTAAATCGTGGCATTTGCAGACGGATTCTATCAATTTCGACAAAAGCTGAGCTTCGGGACCTCCAGTGGGATCCGCTTCGCCACGTAAGTAACCGTAAGCGATTAATTTCTGAATGCAACCAACCGCCGGATCGACGATCTTGTTGAAAGCGGTGGCGCAAGCGTTGATCAGAGGGCTTAGAATAGTCTCCGACTCAGCAAGGGAATATTCCACCGGACCGCCGTCATGGAGTGGACCAGGGATCGAGTTATCAGGCTCCGAATCTGACGGGAACAAAGGCGACTTCTAGTAAGTTTCTCGAGGAGAGATTTGCATTGGTGAGCAAGCTTGGAGTGCTTCCGCCATGAAGCGTTCTTAATGATCTTCTCTAAGGCCGGGACTACCACTTGGGTCACGCGGGAATCGGCTTCCGAGGAAGCCATTCCAGATTCGGATATTGCACGTCGGTTACAAACTCCGATCTAGTAAATGAACAGCGAAATGCAACGGCTCGACCTTTAACCTCCCTATACTTGGAGTAAGCTGAATTATCTGAGTAAGAATGGGAATCGAGTTGCCTCGGTGGCGCGTCCACACGGTTAGCTAGCCTTCGTTCTAATTGAATAAGTACAAAAACAAAGTGAAAAAATAGTACGGAGCCCAGAGGAGGGAAGGAGAAAGTGAGCAGAGGGGCTGCCGATTCAGATCCAGATTGCGTTTCTCTTTTTTTTCGTCAGTCCAAGTTTGAAAATCAATAGACTGAAATGTCCTTCTCTTATCTAAGGGCTTGGCCTGCGGTTATTAATATATGTTTGAAAGGTTAACCGTGATATGTGATAAGACGAAGGACAAACTGGGAAATACGAGTAAGAAATTCTTTGAACTTTTACTATGAACGACGGAACTACTGGATTCGCTCTCTACCTGAATACTTTTCTAGTTCCTCCCATTCTAAAGCGTTTTAGTTTGAATATTCTTAAAAGGATAGTATTATTAATTAGGATTATCATTTATAAATATCAACTGACATATATAAAACAAATATCAGTGATTAAAAAATTGGATAAATTAACACGATCGTTTTAGCCTTTAATAAACAAATAAATAATGACATAAGTAATTTTTTATGGGTATATTGCGTTAGTTCGACCTTTATATATTAATAATTGGAAAAAAATCAAATAACAGGATAATTTCCTTTTTAAAACTAGACTAATTTAATTATTTTTAATAAAAAATAACGGTAAATCTGAATTAATATTTAAAAGAATTGTTTATAAAAATAAAAAAAGTAATTTGAATTATACATTTGTTAATTTAATTAATCTTAAGGCTTATATTATAAATAGAGTTTTGAGTTACTTACCTGACCTCATGTGAAGAGGTATATATAAAAGTAACTTGTTTCATGGAGGGTATTTCATAATTTGAAAGTCTCTTACGAAGTTGTTCTCAACTAGTGATGGGCACAGTCTACTATCTTACCTCCCTTACCATTATATGAGAACAAGGGATAAACATTTTTTATTTATTTTAAAAGAGTCTTATTATTGGTTGCTCTAGAAATTGTTGATCTCTTACTCTTTTAAAATGAGCAAGACTCTTTTCTTGTCCAAAACCGCGGTTTAACGAACAAGACCCAGTTTTCTTCTCCTGAAAGGCAGAGAGCGAGAGAGAGAGCGAGAGAGAGGGAGTTAATCTCTTTTAGGAGAGATCATTGATTAATTCATATTATCAAAGAAAGAGAGAGAGAGCGATGAGTGCAAATAATGGAGGCGGGCCTTGTGGTGCCTGCAAATTCCTGAGGCGAAAGTGCGTAAAAGGTTGCATATTCGCACCGTATTTCGACTCGGACCAAGGCATGGCTCAGTTTGCCGCGGTGCACAAGGTTTACGGTGCCAGCAATGCTTCCAAGATGCTGCAGCGGATACCGGCACACGAGCGCGTCGACGCTGCAGTTGCACTCTGTTATGAGGCTTTGGCTAGGGTTAGGGACCCTGTTTATGGCTGTGTCGCCCATGTCCTTACCCTCCAACAACAGGTCACCCCTCTTAACTGATTAAACACATCATCACTTCACTTAGTGTGTTTGCTTTCATTCTTTCTCCTCTTTTTCCAGATCAAAACTCCATTGAATCATAAGGCATGCATGCACTGAAATAATACAGATGTTCTTCAGCAACTATTGTAGGTTCTTTTTAGTTACTGTAGGTAACGAAGTGGTAGTATTTGCATGGACCAGAGTTAATCCATTATTGAAAGAGATAAATTCAGTGTTCATGCAAACGTGTGCCTTGGAGTGTGTACTGCGTAGTCCATCGGTAAAAGTTTGACAAACTTAAAACTTATTTCTTGAACACCACTTATTATCAAAAGGCCTTGTGATCGCTAGGTAATATTAGCCCCTATGCCTGGTACGCTTCTCTTGGCTTCTGTGATTATAAAATAGTTTAAACCCTGATTAAATACCCACAGTTTTGTTTACAGTAGGGATGACTTGTGAGAGTGAAACTCGGGCTAAACTTCACGTGGAAAGGTAGGTTTTGGGTTGGCTGACAACAGTTGTTGGGGATTTTTTTTTTAAATAATTGAAATTGCTCGCACAAGTCATACTATAACTGCGGTTCCGAGAGAGAGATAACAGTGAACGGCAAAGTGGGGCTGGTTGCTTGCCGGAACCAGCAAACAAGTTTAGCTACTCCATAAATATTCAATTAGTATTGGATTTGACTTTAACAAGTCTTTTGCTCTTTAATTAATTTTCTTTTTATTTATATACTAAAAGAGTAGGAAAATGTGAAGAAATATGGATGTTTCTTCTTGCTTGCAAAGAGGCTCATGGTCCTACCATGTGCAGGTTCGATCGTCCTGAACTTTCTTGGCCGAAACATTTTTTCCCTTGTTTTAACTAATAAATAAATAAAACTACTAAGTAGTTACTTATTAGTCATTGATATAACGATAACCTTCAAATAAATTTTTATAACATCTGATTAGATTATATAATTCATAAACTAAATATAAATATATTTTGATTGACATTTAATTACGAATTCATGGACAATTCCAACTTCAATTAAAAATGGTAATCAGTAAACAGTTTCTTCTTTCTTTTCCTATTCTTTTTTTCACTTCCATGTGTGGGCAGATGAACACGAAGACAAAGATGGTAATAGCTTTAGTTAGGTAGGAAACCATTATCTTGTTTAGATTGACTAACCTACTCCTAAATATAAGACAAATAGTTAGTCAGATTAGATCAGATTGCTTAATTTGAATTACGTCATATTTTTAATAGTGATAAAAGATGTGCATGCATACTTCGTTGTAGGTAGTGAATTTACAGGCGGAATTAGCATACAACCAAGCCCGTCTTCCTACGTTGCACCGCCATCCCCTAATGCCGCCGACGAGCCTCCATTCCTCCCCCGAAATAGCGAGATCGGAACTGGCGTCTTCGTCTAACATGTCGGTTCAATTTGATCCGCTACAACAACAACAGCAGACTTCAAGCCAGCTTACAAGTTTTCCATGTCCTTTTGATCAAGAAGGGCAGAACAAAGAGCTTCAAGTTTTAGCCAAGGAATTCGTCTCCAGGTATCTCCCCGGTGTCCGGTTCCGGCCTTCAACTTCCGGTTAAAACTTCAAATTGTTGTTTAACTCCCATAAAGCCTTTCTTTAATAACTACAATAGATTTGAAATCTAATGAAACCGTGAACTCTTCTGTTTTGCTCTTTCTTTCTTTCTACAACCCCTTCCAAAATGGAAGCCATTCATGATATTAAACCTTACATAAGAAAGCATCATATCTACAATGAATAATTTGCCCAATTTGACTACCGAAATTAAATAACTTTAATGTCAGGTAAGTTCAGATTGTTTCCATGCGCAACAAAACCATACGAATATGAGTGAGAGTGGACACCTTCAGCATACGATCAAATGCCAATATCCAAAAAGGCTAAACATACTTGAAGCATAACTAAATTATACCAAAAAAATGGTAAATGACAAATTTCATCACTGAACTTTACTCTCTTTCCTATTTTGGTAACTCTGCCGTTAAATAGTTAACGACGTTAAAAATATGTCATTTAAAAAATAATAAAATTTTCACCAAAACGTCGTTTTGTATCTATATAACAACTCATTTTAATCTTTAACTATTTAACTACCGAGTGACAAAAAAAAATCAATGTATTAAGTTCAATGAAGAAATTAAAAATATTTAAAATACAATGATTAAAATAAGAGAGTGAATAAAATTCAATTACCAAATTTATAATTTACCCACATAAAGATAAACCTACCGTAATTTTACAACAAAGTAAAATTTAGCTGCTAAGAAAGAAAATATAACACATTTTGCACTTACATTGAACCACGTGGGTTTCTCTCACACAACCATACCTCGTAATAATATCTAAATTATTCGTAATTTAACTCATATTAAACTTAGATTTCATAAAGTATCAATGATCTCATATATAATTATTTTTAAAATTTTTAAATTACTGTTTTTCGTACGAGTGTTAGAATTTTCCATAAATATTAGGTTAAATTACACATTTAGTAGTTAAACTTTTAATTTTTTCAAAACTATACCTAATCTAATTTAGTGATTAAATGCTTGAATATTTGGTGAGACATATTAAGTTTGAATCATAGATCTCATAAATTTCTTTAATTTTATAGTGATAGTTTAGTTCAAGTTAAATACATATTTTGGCTTTTAGGACTAATGTTATGTCTTAGTCTAATTCGATTAATTATAAAAGATAGAAAAGATTCGATTAATGCAATTAGCCGATCGAAATAACTAAAATTTGTTCGATTCAATTAATATTTTTAAATTTTTTTAATTCAATTAACAGTTAAAAATATTTAATTAAATCAATTAAGAATAATTTAATTTAATCGACGATCGAATTAACCGTTTAAATCAATTAAATCAATAACTTTACTTTTTCTGCCTTATTTTATTTCACATCTCTTTTGACTAAATTACCATTTTATCCCATTTTTAATTCAATGTTCCCCTTTACCGGACGTCAAATCCTTTATTAACCAGATTTTATGACTTTGTCAATTTTACCTACTAATTATTTTATTAAGATATTTTTTATTTTTCACTTCTCCCTGTGTAAAAAAGTGTCTGTTCGGACAAGGAAAATAAACGAACCGGCCAGCGGTTTTCTGAAGCCCGGTGTTTTTTTTTAATCTTCGGGGAACACTTTCCTTTTTTTTCCTTCGAGAAAAATTGGAAAAGAAATTCCTGTTTGGTTGGATAGAAAAAGCTTTTGAAGTACTCGCTTCGGTACAGGAAAATGTGAGCAGGTCTGAGAAACAGTGTCAGAGAAGAGTTCTTTCCGGGCTGTGTACTTAGAAGTTACAGGTCATGATCTCTACATTTAACACCATCGTTTAACTTCGATATTTATTTGGTCTGTAAAAATGAAAAATCCATGCTTTAATGTTTTTATGCTTCACTATCAGTTTTTTTAGGTTGATTAGGTAATTATTTATTTTACAGTAAATTTTCAATTTCTGTTAAGGGGCTGATCATGAGAACTGAACTGAAAGCTGAGCATTTTTTTCCTCTTTAAATTGAGGATCTTTGGGTTTTGAAGTTTTTAGCTTTTGAAATGTATGATGGGGTAAAATTTCAAAGTACCTATTTTTGACCAACTTTCATGAAAATTTTGTCTTCTAAATCTGTTTACTTGCTCTTTTTTTTGGGTGTGTATGTGAAGTTTATGTATTTCGAAGTGGTAATGATCTTTGTTTCAGCTTCAAGTGAAAGATAACTATGAGGTTGTATTTTTTGTTAGTTTTCTGGTTTTTGATTGATTGATTTCTGTTTTGTAGGTGACTGGCTGGGAGTTTCTGTTAAGTATAATTTAATATTTGCATGAGGAAAATCCGGGTGCTACAGTAATAGGTGCAGAAGCTCCGTCGGCTTATCAAATGGCACCGAGGATCGAAAATGCCAATCATATTGGATGTGTCTCAATGGCGGTGGATGTTTCACCGGTTGGTGCAGGGTTAACTGGTAGCATAGAAAAGAAAAAGAGAGGTAGACCTAGGAAATACGGGCCCGACGGGACAATGGCGAGGGCATTGTCGCCTATGCCCATTTCCTCGTCTGCCCCACCCGGCCTAGGCGAGTTCTCGAATAGTGGCAGAAAGTGCGGGAGAGGGCGAGGTAGCGGGTACCATATTAAGCATCACAGGGGACTGGACATGGAGAATTTAGGTAATAAGGCCGTTATTATGTTGTTGTCTTAGTTGAACATGATCATGTTCTAGATTTGGTGGCAGATAGTAATGTTTCTGGTTTGGAACTAAGAACAATTAGTCGTGCACTAGTGTTTCGAAACAGGTCACCTAATGTATTCGGAATTTTTCGAATGCCGATTTGAAAGATGCTATATCTGAAGTTGATAATACTCGTTGAACTTTTTGTGGGACCTTATCTGAGATTCCATTGTTCAGATCTGGAAGGATATTGCTGGTTTCTGCAAATGAAAAAGTTGTCTTTTCTTGTGCATGTATGAGGTTTGAGGAATATTCTTGCAGTGTCTTAGATTTCTTTTCATCAATGAATTTTCGAGATGCTCACAACAAAATGAAACGTGCTATAGCAGTAAGATCGGCTGATTAGTAATGTCTGGCTTAAGATGCATGTTCCGCGTCGAAATCTGTTGTTCGAATCATGCCCATCTCGACCATGTAGCAGATCTATGTTTGTTTGGCAAACAGAGTAAAGTGTATGTTATCTGCAATTATTTATTCACCTAACAGTAAAAATTTCTCATTTCCTAAAGGTGAATGGGCTGCTTCTTCGACTGTCGGGGTGAATTTTATGCCTCATGTTATCACGGTCAATGCTGGTGAGGTATGTATCGATATGGGAAAGACAGAGGAACATTCTTATGCATTATTTTCAATCACTGTAAGAATTATGTAGACTTTCTGGGTCCATCCTTTTTTGTGGCCGATACTAAGTGATGTTTTCCTTGGTCGTTGTCTCTTGTCTACATTTTTCCTTGCTTCATATTCGATTTTTGTGGTGTTCGAAGGATGTTACGATGAAGGTGATTTTGTTTTCTCAACAAGGACCGAGAGCTATCTGTATCATATCTGCTAATGGAGTAATTTCGAATGTTACACTTTGTCAGCCCAATTCTTCAGGGGGCACTCTGACGTACGAGGTTAGGCAATCTTGAAATTACTATACATTTCGATATATGGCGAGTTACCTTGTTTTTCTAGTTGCTGATAGAAAACCTCTACTGTTCTATTTCTTGTAGGGTCGGTTCGAGATACTTTCCTTGTCCGGATCTTTCATGCCTACAGAAACTCAAGGAACAAGAAGCCGATCGGGCGGGATGAGTGTATCTTTGGCAAGCGCTGATGGCCATGTCGTAGGAGGAGGAGTTGCTGGGCTTCTGATAGCTGCCAGTGCTGTACAGGTGAAGCCTTTTAGTGCAATTTTCCTTCACCTTTTAGAAGCAATTATTAATCGTTTATTGTCCCTCGTACTAGTAGTCCGAGCAATATGAACACCTAATCAATCCTTGTATTATCAGGTTGTGGAATCGATCTTCAGGCATTCTTACATTGTTTAATCTTTTGCCGAATATCAGGTTGTGGTAGGCAGCTTCTTACCGGGAAACCAGAATGTCCAAAAACACAAGAAGCAGAAAATCCAGTCCATACCAGCTGCACCGAACTCGAGTATTGTCGCTGCACCGGCTTCCATTGGCGAAAAAGAGGATAGCATAGATGTAGCTTCCCCCAACAAAATTCCAATGCCCTGAAACCAAACCTCAATACTGCTGCCTTCCAGTCCCAGAGAGAAAACTGGGCGACTGCCATGCAGGAGGCAAGGAATTCGGCAACCGATATCCACATTTCTTTGCCTGCAGGTTAATCTGATAAAACTAGATCAATCATCTCGGACTCGGGAGGCTGAGTAGAGAGTGTTATGTGTTGTCGAATGTTTTAATGTAGGATAAAGTAGGGTTAACACTTCTGATAGATATCCAGCTAGGTTTTAATGTCTCAGGCAAAGACATCCCTTGCTTTTTCTCTTCTTCTTCTTCTTCTTTCCCCTGATTGATGAGAACTGCCCTAGGTCTTAAAACATCTCCAAATTATGTAGTGAAATTTTCACCAGTTTTATTTGATCTGGTTTCATTCATCCTTAACAAAATGATTGCTAGATTCTGGTTGATATGTTATCCAACACTTAACAAGTTCTGGATGTAGTGATTAGACAGATATTTTTAAGAGTGAAGTATATATTTGCATCTCGCACGCCCTTAAATTTTGTAATTCTACGTACCCTATAGTCGTTGATGTTTAAATCTGGGATTTTTAAAAATATTATTCGTTATTGCAAATACAATAGTTTTTGGCATTGATATTAAGCCGTGAGTTTCAATGGTTAAGGTTTAGTATTGATATCCATCATATGATATTGATATCTAACCTATAGTATTCATGCTAAGGTTACTTTACAGTTAATTTGAAAATATCAAAGCTAAAAACAACCTGTAGAGAACTTTTGAATTTTTTTAGTTTTTGCCCCAAAGGTTCCTAGTTTTGTGAAATCGTCCATGCAATTCAAAATTGACTTATAATTGATAGTTTTGAATTTTGATTTGGTACAATTACATGTTTGTCATTCTACTTGTATTATAATTACAATAACACCCTTGCATGTTTGAACATGCTCTAAAAGTTTACAAGGGTGCTTTTGGTTCACGGAATATAAGATTACCAGTGGAATATGATTACCGGCAGGAATAAGATTACTGGAATGTTGTATTTTATGTTTGGTTCGTTTAGCAGGAATGTAAGGTTACAGTGTTTGGCTAAAAGAATAAAAGATTATTGGAATGTATATTTTACCAAATTGTCCTTATTATATATTTGTTTTTTAACAAGTTGAATTCTACTATAATTAATTTATATATTTTATTTAAAAATTTTAAATTCATAAAATTTATATATTTTTTTTACAAAATTGAAAAGATAAGTAGGTTTAATGAAAGGTAAAATTTTATTTTAACCCCTTAACTTCATATAAAATTCTAATTATGATTTTTTTTTGTAAATCTAAAATAGTTTAAGGATAAATTTTTAATTTAACATTCGAAGAATTTTTTTATCCAACGACAGAGAAAGATATTTTAGAAAGAATTTTTTTAAGGACATTTTAGTACAAAACGCCGGTAAAGCAACAATACCTAAGAAAAGAGGTAATCACATTCCCGATAATATACCCCTAAAATACCATTGAGAATAAAAGATTATCGGAGACTGAGAATGTTTGCCAACCAAACCGGGGAACGGATGTGAGATGACTTGAACCAACACGCCCTAAAAGTTTCAGTTATGTTTCTACTCCGACTCACGTATGTGACGCCTCTGATTCGTGTATAACTTTCAAGTCGGGTAGGGAGTGTTACACCTTTGAAGTTTCATCCCGACTCCGCCTCAGTTGTTGCATTCATATTCATGCAACAAAAAACTCTCATACATTGCTTCTGCACCTCAATTCACAAGGAAAACTGTATCAAGCGAATGGAATCTTGCATCGAACCCAAAAGAACAGAGGCTAATTTGACAAACAAGAAGTTCAAGGGTCGAACTGAAAGAAAATCACCAAATTCAGTGATCAATTTGTGCATTAAACCTATACCAAAAGCCTGTTTAATAATTATCAGTTCCTATCGTCCAAATCAACCTGAAACACATTTAAGAAGATTGATTGTTCGATAAATGAAAAAAAAGAAACACGGTGTATTAGAAAACTTACAAACTGAAATTATAGTATAAATATGGGAGAGACAGGAAACAAAGGAGATAATGTCCTGTAATTAAACAGGCTAAACAGAAAACGGCTTGGATTATGAACTCCGGCACCACGAATTTGTTTATCCGTACCGCCGAATCGTAATGATTGATGAATCGATTTCCAAATCAATAAGACATATAAGCTGCAATGTTTGAATAAATCAAAAGCATTATTATATTACCAGATCAACGTTAAGAAGGAAGAATGGAAATGACCTGATAACAGATAATGTAGAGAAGGGAGATGAGGAAGAAGAAGGTCACGAGCCATCCTAATAGATTCCCCATGCCCAACTTCTTCCTGTCCGATCTCTCTGCCTTTCTGTGCTTTGCTCTGTTTTAATGTATATAATATTCTTTCCAATTAATTTGGGAATCAATTTCCATGCCGCCAAACGGGGATTTTGCCATTGGTTGAGAATGAAGAGTCGAACATTATTCAGCCACTGGTTTGAGATAAATAAGTATATTTTCACTTGTGTATGTATATATTCTATTTATAATGTCGGAATTTAAATTATTAATCTTATTTAAGAAATTTAGTTTATCGAAAAGCACCAAACCGTTCCTTTTGTAATAGACCATACAATGAGGTTATGACCCATAACTTCCTGTGCTAAAAACTCGAAAGGAAGCACTAGCATTGAATCATCATAACCCTCGATTTATTCATCTTCAAAGTAGACTTCAATAGTTGAGCTTACTAGAGAAACCCTTTTTCCCTGCAGCACTTAATAGCTCCATCGTACATATCCTCAACCCCATACTTAAACTTGAATCCCAATTCCAACAGTTTCTTTGACGACAAACCAGGTAACTTTGCGCCTTCAATTTCTGCCACGGAACTGCATTCCCAGAATGATACAATGTTAAAAGAATGCATTACATTTTTGGTCCCAGTATTAGGATAACAATGTGTTTGAGAAAATGCCAAAGAGAAGTTTACTCACTCTGCAAGTTTGAATTCTGGGTAATTAGTTGAAAGAATTTCAACTATCTTTTGAATAGTTACTGTGTCTGAGGAACAATTATATCTCCCTTTTGCCTCAGGATATTCGAGCAGGTAAACAAATGCCCTTGCCAAATCATCGATGTGAACCATTGCTACATTGATAAGAAGACTATAGTCATCCTTACTCCCTGCACCCATATCAAAAGATCAATAAACCGACCTTTTTGGGTCTTAAGCAGTAACAAGTGTAGAAATCAAGACAAGTTCCGAATTATACCGAAGATAGGAGACAATGCCGCGCGAGTCGAGCCTTGCATCTTCGGACAGATGAAGGGACCGACGACCATAGGTGGAATGATGCTCACCAGATCCAGTCCGTGTTCGTTTGCAAATTCGAAGGCTGCCTTTTCTGTCAAAGTCTTGGAAATTGCATAAGAACTTATGAAAGAGTTCAGTTCCGATCTCACGTAATCCACGTCGGTCCAATGACTCTCATCCATCATCTTCGCATTGCTCTTGTTGAGATACACAGCGGAAATGCTGGAAGTGTAGACGACTCTCTTCACTGTTTTGGATCTCAAGCATGCTTTCAATATGCCTAGTGCTCCATCGACCGCCCTTTGGGTCACTACTGCCTCGGGCTCGTTGCCTTCGAAATCCATGGGAGCTGCAACGTGGAGAACTCCTTTGCATCCTTCAATGGCCGAATCGAAACTCTCGGGGTGGCTAAGATCTGCTGCGAAGATTTTAAGCCTTTCATCTGCTCCAGGTAAGCTTGTGAGGAAGCTGAGGTCTCTCTTGTTATCAGGGTCAGGTCTAACAGTGGTATGAACACAGTAACCTTGCTCAAGAAGCACCTTGATCAGCCACGACCCGATGTAACCGGTTCCTCCGGTGACGCAAACAGCTCCTTTATCTCTTCCCATCTCCCAATACCTCCCTTGTTTTTTTGTCTCGGGGTGCTTTGCAGTTCTTGCCTCGGTACCTATTAAATAGTTTGCGTTCAAGATGTAAAGTTGATCTCTTACTTATAGTGTGTGCACCACGTGTACGGTAAGTGTTTCCCACATGCTTGTTGGGAATCGACGCCACCCGCTGGCGCTGCCCTTCTCTTTTCATCAACTTTCGTCGATGCTGATGCGTATGCAATGACGATTTGGCGTTAATCGTGACGACTTATTTGACGAAAAAGCATTTTGTTTGAGCCCGAAGAAGAAAGAAATGATCAGATGGGCCGAGGTTGAGCGGCTGTGAGATCACTCTCTTAAAATTTCGATTTTTAAAATATATTTTTATTAATATATTTTCACCCCTCAAATTTTTATAAATTTATTTAAAAATGTTATATGTTTACCTTTCTAACATAAAATCATATTAGTTTCATGTATCTAATTTTCAATTCTGAATTTTCTATGATTAACTTTCCACGGTCATTGTAGAAGTTCTATTAATTTATTATACAGTATTTCTAGAAGATGGTCATCTATATACAAATATCTAGAAGGGTCCGTAACCGTGGAGCTGCCAAACTTGACTGGAGACTTCTGGGAAATGAAAAAAATAGAGAATTTTGGAACATTTCTCATTGCAATAATATTATTTTATTATTGGCTAGAGTGTATAATGTGGTATATGATGTTTAATTTTATACAATCATGTCCATAAGTTTTTGTATCATTCTACATTTAATTATTGTATGGGAAAAATCATATTTTTCAAAGTTCATTGAATATTTTTCTTTTAAATGTGTATAATTAAATCAATAATAAAATTTATTATAAAATAAAATTAAAATTAATTTATATATAATTATGAAAAAAAATCACATATGATATTATAAATATTTTATTTCATATCATATTGTGAATTAAATTAAATTTATGGAAACTTTTTTTTTTGCATAAAATAATAATGAGAGAAATTAGCAATTAGGCATCTTTTGGGCTGAGGAGATGAAAGTCTAACTCTGGCTCGGGCTGGCCTGGATTGGACCTGCCACACCTCACTCCTAGTCCTAGAGTTTACAAAGCGCGAAAGATGAGGTAACAATTTTTTTTTGGATAAAGTACACAAATGATCTTCAATTATAAGTTATTATTTTATTGAGTTTCATGATTATAAAAATTATAAAATAATCCCTCGGCTATAGGACGTTGTTTTGTTGAACCATCTTACTATTAAAAGTTACAAAATGATTATTCGATTATTCATATGTTCTAAACTTGTTCTTTCATGTTAAAAAGTTGACGAACATCTGAATTAGGCGTCAACATACTGATTGTGATATGATAAAATTATATTTTAATGATATCTACTGACATCACTATTGCTTTCAAGCATTGGCTTGAAGACATAATGTAAATGTAGAGTCGATTCACAAAATACAACTCAGAAAATTGGGATCATATTTTATCATATACCATTCAACATGTTAACGTCTAGCTCAGGTGATCGTTAATTTTTCTACATAAAAGGACTAGTTTAGAACATATGAATAGTTAAATGATCATTTTGTAACTTTTAATAGTAGAATGACTCAACAAAACAATATCTTATAATTAAAAAAATATTTTATTACTTTAATAATTATAAATCTAATAAAACAACACTATATGATCGAGAAATCACTGTTGTATATTTTTTTAAGGTTTGAGACCCCTTATTTTTAGTGGTCATTGTAATTGTAATCAAATATGTTTGAAGCTGAATCCAATCCTATCCCTAAAAGGAAGATAAAACTTTCTCAACACTAGATTTCTATTAGCAAGATTTAAACTTCAAATTTTTGTTAAGGGTTATCAAATTTTTATTTGATCCAAGTAGTATTAGTGTAAACAGTACCTCTAGCTTATTTATCACTATTAAATTATTTATTTTATAATTAAACTTTACATATTTATATTAATTGAATCTTAATTTAATTAATATTATCACTGTTGCAATATCAGAATGCTCATAAGCAGTTTAGCTTAAAGTTTAGTTTCTTCCTTCTGTATTTAAAAAAGAAAACAAAAGTTTCTATTTTATTATTGTAATACAATTTTCTATTTTATTTTTTAAGAAAAAACTGAATTATTAACTCAACATTCGAAACACTGAGCAAATCCCATAAATTCTAGCTACACAATCACACTCTAACAGGATATTGTTGGGGAAAATCCTTGGAAAAAAAGAGACGACTTCCTTTTTCTTGTTTCGCTTCAATCCCTGTTTCCTTATTTACGATCCCAGTTCTATGACAAAGATACGGATTCCTTCATCCTCTGAGTCGTTCAGGCAACCTTAATTACGATCCCAGTACTTTGAAGAAGACACAGAAGTCTGAACTTTTTTGACTTAATTGTTAGTTTGGGTGTCATGCACAGATCTGGAGCAACGATGGCTTGGAACGTGTTCAAGTTTTGCACGGCTCTCAGGGGTCTGGGCTCGATCATGATCCTCTTGGTTTTAGGGATCGTGGGTGTCACTTATTACTCTGTCGTTTTGACTAATTATGGCCCTGCTTTATTCGATGGTGGCTTTCATTTCTCTCTGCTGCTCTTATCTTGTTCTTGTTTCATTGTTTCGTAAGTCCCCCAAATGAATCTTCTTCTGTTTCTTTGATATTTCTTGTTACTTGGGTTTTCTTAGGATTTACTTGTTCTGCCTCTGGATTAGATATCTTGAAATTTAACTAATAAAGACTGCCTTTTTGTTATAATCATTGAAGTTGGTTTTGGAAAGATCCAAGCTCGAGTTTTGTGTTTGTTTATTTATTAGTCAATGGTCTCTCTAGATCTTAATTTTTCTTTATTTTTGCCTTAGTTGTTGTGAATTCTTACATTTTTCATATTCAGAAAGGAAAAATCTGCAGTATTTTTAGAATACAAGGCTCAATTTAGGACATTTTTCTATATTTGGGATTGGGATCTGGGATTGTGTTTAATGTAATCACATTGCTAAATGAATGAAAAACAATAGATGATTTAATTGTATTGTGGAACTTATTCTAGATGTTGGAACTTTGATGTGATTCTGCAGCTGGTGATGCTGTTATGGAGTTACTTTTCTGTTGTTTTGACTGATCCGGGTGGTGTGCCTCCTAACTGGAGGCCAGCTATGGATGAGGAGAGAGGGGAGGTTGACCCATTGGACGGTTCGGAGTTCGACTGTTCGCAGCCAGACACATTAAATCAAAGAATTCGATATTGTAGGAAATGCAACCAGCTGAAACCACCTCGCTGCCATCATTGTTCTGTTTGTGGGTTCTTCATACACCCAAGTCCTATGTTTCTTTTTCTTAATTTGCTAATAATGCTTAATTGTCGATGACTCGTTGCATATCGGTATTGTTGTTTCAGGTGGGCGGTGTGTTCTAAAGATGGATCATCATTGTGTTTGGGTTGTCAATTGCGTCGGTGCACAAAATTACAAGTATTTCCTGCTTTTCTTGGTATGTTTGCTTTATATTCGAATCAGTTTTCTTTTCCGTACATTTTATGCTTTTGTAGTTTCACCTTAGCTTCAAGAAGTTCCTATTTTCATGTCTCTTACAGGATATAAATTGAGATGTGGAGTGTATTTTTTATAGAAACATAAAATGAACTTCGGTTTTCTTGGCATTGCTTTGACTACGTATTCGAACATAATGCAGTTTTACACATTCCTCGAGACTACTCTTGTGACTTTAGCCTTGTTGCCTCATTTCTTAGCGTTCTTTGGTGACGGAGAAATCCCCGGAAGCCCCGGCACCCTTGCTACCACTTTCCTTTCCTTTGGTATGGACTGCCTGGAATTATTTTCTGACCCGATTAGCTTCTGTGACTACATAGAAATGTATGACCATGTTCTCCTGTTACAGTTCTGAATTTGGCATTTGCATTGAGCGTCATGGGGTTTTTGATCATGCATATATCTTTGGTGGCTGCTAATACCACAACTATCGAGGTACTACTTGGTTCTTTCGGAGTCTGTCATTATTTACTATTTTAGAATTTAGTAATTAGTACCATTTCATAATACGAATAGACATGCAATATCGTTATTGTGAGTAACCGAATCGTTCCTGTCCTACAGAGGGAGGAAAAGAAGCATTAATGTTTGGTGAAACTTAAATATCTTAAATTCTTAATAGATTAACCGAATATCCTCTATAGGAATTTAGGGACATCTGTTGGCTAATCTTCAAGAATGCCTGCACAAGTTGCTGATAAAATCGGTGACTGTCTTTGAAACAGGCATACGAGAAGAAAACAACTCCAAAATGGCGTTATGACCTTGGTCGGAAGAAAAATTTTGAACAGGTTAACTGTTTCTGCAAATACATTGCTATATTCCGTTATGTGTAATTCTTGCGTCCAAAAGAAAAGCTTTGATGATATGGTCAGTTGATGGTCTGGTTGAAACCAGTATTTGTTCTTGTAGCCTGGCTTTTCGGACATGCTAACTGTTGTCTGTTTACTAAGTTTTGGTGGTGTTGGTCTATATATAGGTGTTTGGAACAGACAAGCGATACTGGTTCGTTCCGAGCTATTCAGAGGAGGATTTACGACGGATACCGGCACTTCAGGGTCTTGAATCAAAGCCTGACTTTGATTCCCAAGAGTTCTAAAATGGAAATCCGGCGTCCAGGAGACTTTGCCCCTCACTGTTGATACAGAAGCCTTGGCCATCGCCGCCTTTACTTGGGGTCGGGTTTCGGCTTCTAACTGTTCGTTCCCACTGGCATCTTCACCTATAAATTACAGTAGATCGAGAGAGAGAATGGCAAGCATGGTTAAAATGGGCCTTACAATTTTTACAGTAATTTTATGGTTAAAATGTTATATCTTACTTTGGTTATTGTAGATTTGTTGTACCTACATACTGATTAGAAGGAAATATAGAGATTGTTTTTGGTTGATATCATTTTTTCTTTATTTTTGGTCCTTTGATTTGAAGGAAATAGAAGTTAATTCTATTATACTAGATAGATAAATAATTATTGTAATAAATATTATAATATCTATCTCTCTATCTATATAGATAGATAGATAAATACTTTTTTCAATTTTTTTAAGTTATCAAATAAGAATGGAAAAAATATATTTCACATCAGATGAGTTGGATGATTTTCACCTAAAATTCATGATAAATTTGAATGAATAAAATATGATTAGATGCTAAATAAATTAAAACTAAATAAAATAATTATTTATTTTATTTTTGTTTGAAATACAATAGAAAAATGGTTACTGGAAACGCTAAAACGAAATGCCAACTACCTTAAACCTTGATATTGCTCTGCATGGTTGTTTCGATTTTTTTTTTTTTGTTGCATTGCTTCTGTGTTCAATTCCAGGTGGAGAAGGACAGCCTTACCCTATTTTTTGGGGTTCCTTATACCTCCTTTTACAAATCGAGAGCAAGGACCCTTTCTTAATTACAATTTTTGTTCTTTTCCATTTTGCATGATCTTCTGCTGTTTTTGAATCTGGGGATTGAGTTGTCATTTTGTTACTTTCGTGCTAGGGCTACTGCTGTCGCGGATTTGGTGCTACGGTGTGAGCTGGCCGGGGCTGGCTTAGCAGAATGCAGCAACAGGTGTCCAGCAATTTTCCCGCTCTTTTTTTCAGCTTTTGGGCGTTGGTATTGTCAATGGGCTGCTGGGTTTAGGTTTGGGCCAAATGTATCCCGGACAAAATATATGACCTTTGGTTCAATCAATGCACTAATCAAACCATGAACCAGCCTAAAACCTCGAATAAACGTGTCGTCATAAAATCCAGTTACTTTCAAATTATGGATAATAAAGTTGTGTGATTCTTCGCAAACATTGATTCGTAATCGAAGGTGTTCATGCTCGTCTTCCTGCAGTTTTTTAATCCATTGAATTAATCATAAAAATAATTTTCGTTTTTAATAACTCATTCTAAAAAATATATTATTAAATATTAATACCAACGCTCCCAAAAAAGAAGAAATATGTCGATCATCTAATCTCAAAAGATTATTTTGTGCTATCATACTTCAACAAATCTATAAAAAAAATTAACTAAAATTAATTTGAATAAAAAATATAAATTAAGACGTAATAATAAAAGAATTTTTTAAAAAATATATATTTACAACCCTATATTTAGAACTAATATATCGATCACAAAACAACGATAATGACCAAGTAAATAAACGTGTTTGATATCACACTTGTTTGTTTTCATTGGTTTATTTTTTTCTTCTCTTTCAACTACACAAAATTTTTTTATGTCTTCACGGGTAAGTAAACAAACTATCCCCACCCCAATATATAATATTACAACCTCACCAATCCAACAAAACCAAGCAAATAATTCTCATTCAAGTGCCAACTTTGTATGCATCACTGGCATGCTGCAGGCAGCTGTGTTGCACGGACCTCAAGCTTCATGGATTGCATGCATGAAGACTGCACAGGCGACAGTGATGCAGGTGTAGGCTTGAAGATGTATAGTAATCCCCGGGACTTCATACGTAGGGAATACACCGTGTCTTCACTGTTGTCGATTTTGGCTCAAAGAAGCGTAAAAATCCTGACGTCTTCATCAACTTGCGATGACTACATGATGTCTTTACGGTTTACTATAAAAAAATGACCTATTCTAAAAATAATTCCCTGTGTACATTATTTGGGTAATTAAAAAATTAGCATACGTTATCGGGAAATTCTGCCATAAACAACACGATGAAACAAATTTAAATAATAATTTTTCCATTGAATTCCGAAAATAGATGGGAAAAGAAATGAAATCCAATAGTTTGGTGAGGGCGGTGGTCCTAAATAAAACCGGAACATTCTAGCTTTAGCTAAAATTGGGATTACGTCACCTGTCTCCTTCTCAAACATTCTTTTTAATTCCCCCGAGCAATTTTGACCACCAAACATCCTGCTGCTTCATTTCACCTGCTAATCGTCTATTGATTCCGCATAGAGAAGTGGGTTATTTCAGGTTGATTCTACATTTGCTATTGTCTCTGTTTTCTTTTAATCAATTATATGCAATTTCCTCGAGTTGAATTCCGATTCCCATCTTTTAAAACTTGCCATGTTTGTTTCCTTCAGAATGCAGAGGGGAAGAGAAGGCAAAAGGGACCTCTTCGATGCGGGCGACCCATTTGATGTTATCCAGAGGCTCGGTAGCTTTGGATCCCGTGGCACTATGATGTCTAGCCTCTTTGGAGGCAGAGATCCTTTTGATGATCCCTTCTTCACTCGTCCCTTCGATAGCATGTTCGAACCTGGCATCTTCGGTCCAAGTACTCCATCTCGTGAAGCACCACTCAAGAGCCTTGGAGGAAATGGAATACATATAGAAGAACTCAACTCCGATGAGGAAGACGATGAAACGGCTGAAGGCATCACGAAGCATGTCGGGTCGGGAAAGGAACCGTCTATCCAGCACCCAGACGATAGCGATGACGGTAAATCGGTTTTAAAATTTGATCAGTGCATGTGTTTAATATCTGTATTTTTTGTGAGTTACAATGATTGGTGTTATATATTTATCAGATGGGAAGATTCAGAGTGTTACTCATAGAAATGAGCATGACAGCCACAGGGTGAAAGGCTCGAATCAACAGGCTCGTAGTTTTAGTTTCCAGACTTCAAGAGTTACGTATGGAGGTGTAGATGGAACTTATTACACTTCTACGAAAAGCAGGAAGAAGGGCTGCGATGGAGTAAGTAACTTTTTTTTCGATGAGTGCTCGAATATGATTCGAATGCTTATTGTATTCGATATCGGTGTTGGTTGTTTCAGGTGGTGATGGAGGAGAGAAAAGAAGCAGATACAACAACGGGTCAAGCAACACATAAGATTTCCAGAGGAATTCATGATAAGGTAACTTTATTCCATTGGTTTTTGGGGGAACAAGTCCGGGCTTAAAGATTGCAGTTATATATGTCTAATATTTAACGAAATTACTGCAACTTTGGTGTGTTCTAAAAGGACATATCCTCCACAATCCGTTGAATGAACTGAATGTGGTCCGATTCCAAACCAAGTTGATTCACAGTTATCTATTTAATTGCCGCATTGTTGATTCGATATTATCTCTATTTGTGCAGGGCCATTCTGTTACAAGGAAGCTGAATGCAGATGGTAAGGTGGACACAACACAGGCATTACACAACATGAATGGAGGTTTGTTCCTTGGTTGCTTGTTGTGATTATTGATGGACATTGTGCTTGAATGGAACTGATATTTTCGTATTGGGATTTCATTAGATGAACTTGCGGAATTCGAAAAGGCTTGGAAAGGTAAAAGTGATGGTCATTTTACTGGGTGGAGTGATGGCTTTAGCAAGCCTGCTAATGCTGGTACACATTTCTTTTAACCTTTTATACAGAAGGTTCGTTTTAATGGATTTAGCAACCTTCATTATCATGCCATTTGACATCATTTCTTTCATCTTCTTTTTGAATATCCAATGTGAATGTAGGACCTGGAAGTCATGAACAGATGGGATTGGCAGTGAAGGACAGTTGGAGACATCCATATAGAGAGCAGGGCGAAAACAGTGGAAATCAAGGAGCAAACACTGCAAGAACCACTTCTGGAGGTAGAACGAAGAAGGTTGTTAGGATTAATATTGAATGAACCAGATGTGACCATAAACCAGATTCACCGATTTAGTCTCTGTTAAGTTGAACCATCTTTATCCTGCTAGATATGTTTTTGTTTGGGAATTTATGGTAAATAGCCGAGTACATAAACATTAGAAACTTCTCATTATTGAGTTGTTTTGCGTTAATACTTGCAATCCTGAGCTCTTTCTTGGTTGTGTAAAAGTTTCGTGGATTGATCTTCAATAAGATATTGATAATAGTTGATTAGATTCTGCCTTGTCGTGTCGTCGTCGACTGTCTGGTAAGAAAAATCAAAGCAAAAGCCTCTAATATATATGTATATATAAAGAAATATGAATTCTTCAAATCTACTAAACATAAATTTAAAACGCAAGAATCTCAATTTCAAACCATAGGTGAGCTAGTTCTTTAACGGCAATGATAGGATGTAAACCAAAAAGTTCCTGCTGGCCTACCCCGGCGAACGGCGTTAGAAGAACAAACTGATCGTTCAAAAAGTGAATTTTCTAGGCCACAAGGGTGCTGGCAGTGGTTGACTCGCTGGATAGAGGAAAAGAAAGTATACAAATTAAAACCAATCTTTAGACAAAAGAGTAGAGAGTGCAGGCAATAACCACAAAAATTGACACTTCTATCTGGTGTTACTTGAGAAAGAAAGCCTCTGATCATTACTGATGAAGCAGGGAACAAGTACTCACTATTTCCACACAGGAGGTAACTTCTTTGTCTTCTTGTAATAACGGGCGAGGCGGTGGATCCTGGTCTCGACCAAGATCAACCTAAACTTGGAATCCTTGTCTTTCCGGTTCCTCTCAAGATGCTTTCTGATGGCAACGGCTTTCTTAATCAGGTGGTACAAATCCTCGGGTATTTCAGGAGCAAGACCTGACAGAGACAAATGGACAAGTTGAATGTTGATGTTCCGATCTGAAGGAAGATGCAGTAACAGAAAACACCATATAAAGACATACCATGCGCTTTCAGTATCCGCAAAATCTTGCTGCCTGTAACACTCTTCACCTGAGCAATTCCATGAGAATCTCGGAGAATGACACCGATCTGAGATGGGGTCAAACCCTTCTTTGCAAACTTGCAAATGTTATCCTCAACCTAAATGATGAAATCAAGAGTAGGGTTTTTCAAATGCACATTACACGAGGAAGATTTGAGTTAACCATTACTCCAGTAATTCCAACAATAAATTTCCAGCTAGAATGGGGGGAATTTGTGGTACACAGAAACCAAAATAATATCTTCTAATGAGCAAGAAGCAATGACTATGTGGATTCGTCATTTCAGAAATTTGAGAAACAAAATATTGAGACATAAGTAAATGCATTGTATCTGTTAAAGCAAGCGGTTCTTCAAGGATCCAATCCACATAAGGCACTAAAAAGAGTTAACTTCACTGCTCAATAATCATTTAGGAAAGAAAAAAAGCCGAATTTCGTTTTAAAGGAAGGTAAAAACGATTCAATCATTCATTTTATAATTAAAAGGGTGACACACATCTTGAGATCTTCAACCAACTAGGTGGAGTCCTCTTGTATGGCAGAGCAGATGCAGAAATACCCTTGCTGCAGAGATGGAAACACAAAACAGAAGATGAGGCAAATCGGCATAGATAATCATAGGGTCGTTTAGTGTAAAAGAAAACAAATGTGGAAGAAAATACAAACCCTCGGCTGTGCATACGGCCCATGGTGCTCCCTCAAGCTCTGCTGCTACTCTAATCTGTCTTGCTAGCTACTTAGTAATTCCAATGAGCAAATAAACCCTAGACTCAAAATTGAGGCTTGGGCCAGGATTTGAGTTCCTTCCTCGGCCCCATTAAGCTATTACATATATAGAACAAGAAAGATTCAATTGCAAAATGAGCCGAGCAAGTTCTTAGTGAAATAAACGGGTTAATATAGAGCAAAAGAAAGAAAAACGGAAAGCTTAACAAATCAACAAAAATCGAAAAAGATGACTATGACCCTCAATTCTTAAAATTTACTCCAATTTTTTATTCTTAGATGTTCCAATCTGAAAAAAAAAGCTTAACAAATTTGTTATGCCAAACCAATATGATCGTATCATTAAACTTAATGGAATAGTGATTATATGAGCATATCTTAAAGCATTAAACCTTCATTTGAACAATTTAAAAATGTTAGTTCAGGTCTATTTGATTGAGCGAAAGATTAGATTTTTTTTAAGAAGACTCAAAAACATTAGCCCTTATTTGACCATTTTGAAAAATTAATCCCTTATATTTAACCTTTATACTTTAATTTCTTTTAAAAAAAAGGGTTAATAACACGGATAATTACTTTTGTTCGTGTTTTGTTCACTTTTGGTTACTGATTTTAAAAAACATAAGATATCATCACTTTTGTTTTTATTTAATTAAGATGTGGTAATCCAAGTTAATTGTCATTAACAACAGTTAAATATTTTGATATAATCAGACATTTGATCCATGTTATTTACATATTCTCTCAATTTAGTCTTATTTTAAATAAATTAAAATAAATTCAATCATCCAATCGAATGATGTCACATATCACGCCAAAACCATTACTTGATCTAAAGTAGACAACATGGTATATATATTTGTGTATAAATACTTAAATTCATACCATTTTATATATATTATCTTAAAAAATAAATTAACTTATTAAATATAGTTTATTATTAATTTAATTTAAAAATATATTTTATGTTAAAATTTATTTAAAAGTAAGACTAAATTGAGAAAATATGTAAATAACGAGAATCAAACGTGTGATTATACCAACTATCACGTCACACATTATGTTAGTTGTTAGTTGTTCACATTAGTTAACCCGTGATAACCACATTTTAATTAAATAAAAACGAAAGTGATCATATCTTAATTAAATAAAAACAAAAGTGATCATATATTGTGTTTTTCGAAATCATTGACAAAAAATGAGCAAAACACAAACATAAGTGATCATCCGTGTAGTTAAAAAAAAAAAAACCTTTACATTTGGGTGGATATAGTTTGCTCATTTTAAAGGATCAAGGAAACGAGCCTTGAGGCTTGCAACTTCTTCAAATGTGTAGCGCCTCGTCTTCGACAATGGGAGAACACGTAAAAGCACAGGCTTTTGAAAACCGTAGCTTCACTTTCCAGTGGCAAATGCATAGAAACAAGTTTTAGTTTATCAGATGAGACCATATTTGATCTGATCCAACACTTCATGAAACACTGTGAAATTCTCTAAACTATCTCCCTTCAAGTACATTGTTCAATGAAAGAACCCATCAGTTCCAGTGGAATCACTTTAAAGGAACAACAGAAGACTTGTAAAGGAACCACTTCCCATGAAAATGCAAAAGGCTGACTTTAAGCAGATGCATCTAAAGACAAGGATCTTTCAGTTGTATATGGACCAGACCATGATGTAATCAAAATCATCAAGGATCGCCTACCGTCCCACTATTTGTTAATCTAAATGATTCTTCGACCATGGACCATGCCGGCAACAACAGGATTAACGTTCCCGAAGTTTAACAGCCGAGAGACACAATTTGTTCAAACAATAAATAGTTATCAATTCCGAAATAACTCAATGATACATGTTTCAGAACCCATATCAAAGCTCAAATGAAGAAAGGGGCAATACGCCAATACCTCTATGCTATTGAATGAAGATGTGCAATAATCAAAGATCTAACATTACTGAAACAAATGAAAGTAACAGAAGTTGGACCATTGGCTTTTGTAGGCGTCAAAGTAAAGAACAATACCTTATCTAGAAAGCAAAAGAGCATAGCAAGGTTATGATATCAACATCAGCGCATTAATTTTACAAAAAAGCAATAAGGATTTGCATACCAGTAAAAGAAAATTTTCAAACACGACCAAAGGAAAGAAGGATCATATTATCCAGATCTATTTTATTCGAATTGCATACCAACGATACACGTCCAACGATCAGCTTATGTTCTAACTTCTATCAGTTCATGAATTCTAAATGCCAAAACTATACCAGTGTTCTTTTGATACAATACAACGTGTGCCTGGCCATCAAACAATGTCCAATTATCACAAAACTTCTTCCAAGGAGGACACAATACCCTTCCTTATATGGCATCATTAAAGATGTATGAAACAACGACAATCGCCTACTGAACAGAGAAATGTTAAAAACAATGCTAATGAACACGAATTTGGAGGATCCTACCGCAATTCAAAGAATGAATTAACCAGCAGCCTTCTCCCCACCGGAATAGTAGCCGAGATACCACCTAACAAATTTCTTCAAACCAGTCTGCAAATCAGTTGTGGGATTATACCCAAGCTCCCTCCGAGCCAAGCTAATATTGGCATGAGTGAACTGAACATCCCCATTTCGTGGCAACTTCATAATATTCCTCTTAGCACTAACTTTCAAAAGCCTTTCCAAGATACTAACAAGATCTGAAACCGGCACGGGCAAAGTATTCCCCAAATTATACACCCTCAATTGAGCCGGACCCTTCTTCTTCCCTCCGCTACCGGTACTCTTCTCGGCAGTATCCAACGCTGCTAAACACCCTTTCACAATATCATCAATGTAGGTAAAATCCCTAGCCACCGTACCATGATTAGCTGCCTCGAATATCAGTATCGATTTCCCCTTCAAAATATCTCTAGTGAAAAAGAAATACGCCATGTCGGGCCTTCCCCACGGACCATAAACCGTGAAGAACCTCAAACCAGTTAAAGAAAGTCCGTATATATGATTATAAGTATGTGCAATCTCTTCACCAGCTTTCTTAGTAGCAGCATATAAACTAGCAGGTTGATCAGTTCTGTCTCTCTCAGAAAATGGAACTTTGGTATTAAGACCGTAAACAGAACTCGAAGACGCCCACACGATTGCAGGCTGTGGATTGGCTGATTTACAAACTTCTAGTAAACTAACAAGACCAGCTATATTACTATGCACATAAGAGCTAGGGTTTTCCATTGCATACCTGACCCCAGCTTGAGCAGCCAAATGCATAACGTGAGTAAACGCAACGACCTCGAAAAGCTTCCTTAAAAGAGCCGAATCGTTAATGTCTCCTTCCACAATGAAAACCCCACTTCGTTCCAGAAGAGCTTGCCGAGCTCTTTTGAGTGAAGGGTCGTAATATTCATTGAAATTATCGAGTCCAAGAACGCCATCGCCACGCTTTTTCAAAGCAGTCGACACGTGGGTGCCGACGAAACCGGAAGCTCCGGTGACCAAAACGGTTATGCCATTGCGGGAACGGACACGCGCCGAGGAACGGACCCTTTTCTCCCAAGCGGGTCCGCCCCAGTTGTACGTACGGAGGGAGCGTCGAGAGGGATCTTGCGGGAGGGGGTTCGATGAAGGAGATCGAAAGAAGAAGATCAAGATCATGCCCAAGAAGATAAATGACCAAAATGTAAGCTTTGCAAGAGAGGAATGCCACCTCAGTCTGTTGTGAACGAAGGGTGATTTTTCCATCTTGAATTTCCCCGACGTTGATGGAATGTTGTCAAGATGAGATATTTGCTTCGACATTTCTGAGTTTATTCGGAGAGAAGGCAAAAAAGACGATGAATCTGTATATCTTTTCTTTTTTTTACACTCTATCGGGATTTGGAGAAATGGTAACGCTTCTTCGGTGACGGCGGCGGAGATTGTGGCGGAAAGGGAATTTTTTTTTCTTTTTCAGAGGTGGATTTTGGTGGTAGTGGTGGTGGACTTCTCCTGTGCAAGCTCTATTTTATTTTGTGATGAAAATGGGGAATCTTTGAAAGGAAGGATTTGTTTGTTGGTTGGTTGGTTTGGGTTTCATTAGTTTCTCTTCCATTGGTCTAAAAATAAAGAGAGGTCAAGAGATGGTTTTTTAATTAAAAACAACAACTTTATTAAATTTAATTAAACAAACTTGGTTAAAAAAAGGGAGGTTAAGCATTTTCTTGTTCATCTTCTTCTGTTAATAAGAAAAACAGAGGCAGACAACAATTTAAAATCAAATCAATGCAATTAACAACTGAAAATATGTTTTTTTCCCAGCATTATGATGTTGATTCATGTCCAAGTTTGCAATGAAGGCAAAAGGCAACCAAACTTTCCAAGAAATCTTAGATTTTAATCCATTTTAAGCCTAGGTAGCATCATCATCATGTGGGATTGTAGGCTGCAACCCACATTGTTAACTTTTGAAGGAAAAATCACACTAAGCTTATTTCAATCAAAGCCTTGCTTTACTTCGTCTGCAAGCTCATCAAAATTAAACAAGCGTGAGCTTCAAGGTTCATTATACACCAGACTCTGACCAACAAAGTCCTTAGACAATACTGCCATTCACCCATCATCATCATCTTCATCCTCGTTCTTGAAAAAACGGTGGCAATTTCTTTCATGGCTTGGTAAATAAATAAGCCCCAGATTGTTCTTTAACTTTCGATTAAGTGTTTTCTTTCCCAGATTTATGGACATTGTTGAACCACAGACGCCATGTGAGGATTTGGTGGAAAGGAAACATCTTTAAGTTTTGTTTTGTACTTTAGAGCTGGCAAATTGGCAACAAGTTCCATGCCTGGATAGTTAATATAAGCAGGAACTTGTAAAGAAAAGTGAATGTTTTGAATCATTTATGGAAATTTCGTATATCCCATGATCAACAAGGCTATATGATCCCTGCCGGATACGTTCCCTTCCTGTTACAGATACGCTGTCGTAGTCGGCTCCGATCTAAACCATCGCTGCTCCAGAGATTCAATGAACTGAATAGGCATTGCAGAACAGAATCAAAATAAAGAATGAGAAAAAATGTATTAATCAATTGGTTCGAATACATAATCAAAGAATTGAAAGTTCTCAACCTCTTACTTCATGTTCATGCATGTCTTCTTCATATGGTACTGACTTTTTTCCCCTCATTAATCTAAGGACGATTATAGCGAGTAATATCTATTTGAAAGACCTTCAATCTATTTGATAATAAAGGTTAAAATGCATCTAACATATGATATGCTCGAATATAAAAATTCTAAAGATAACAATTATTCATTTAACCACTAAAATAATTTAATTCGTGCTTATACGGTGACTTATAAGACTTTGATAAAGACTAAATTGATAATAATGAGAAAAAATATATCTTCATTTATCATCAATATTTGTTTTTTTATATAAAATAAAGATTAAGTATTTGTTACCTAAATAATGTCGACAACCAACCTTATTATTTATTGTTTTAGTATCAAATTTTGATTTTAGAAACAACAGAGAACTGACCTTAAAACTATTTATTACTTGGATTTTATTTTTGTTGATACAATATTTGATGGTTGGGGTTGGTAAGGATTAGTATGTAGTTGTTGAGAGTGATGTATGAAGGTTTCAAATGTATAGGAGATGAGTAGAAAGTTTTTTAAAAAAAATCTGGAGTAGGCAATATATACGTAAAGACTCGTGACTATTTGACGATAAACGTTTATATGTGTAACTTGTGTTCGAACTCGAGATCTTAAGGAATAACAACAAATTCATTAATAAAACAATAAAAAAGTTATTAGATTAATGCAAAAGTAATTACCGAACTATACCCAAATTTAACTTTAGGTGCCTAAAGAATTTTTTGTTAAAGATAGCTTCCTAGTGTTTTCGGCGTTGGCTTTTAAGTGTCCACCGTTAAACTCGACCATTACGTGACACGTGTCATGCTTTATCAAAATTTCAAAAAAAAAATTATTTAATTTTTTTACGAAATTTTATATATCTGACACGTATCAATAAACGAACAAATTTAACGGTGATAATAATCCGTACACCTAAAAATATAAAGTTGAAAACGTTATATTTACATTAAACCAAAGTTATTTGATAAGCTTGGCAAAGTATAAATGTATAAAGTAATGCTGGTGATTGGGTTAGAAGACGAGATTTATATGGCTTGATGTGGATTAGTTCGACAATGTTTTTCCAACAAACCCCATAGAGAAGCCTTAGATTCAAGGGTTAGTAGATATGTTTGTAAAGTATGTATATTATTGATTAATTAATTTTTTTAATAAATATTATTTTTATAATCAATTTAGACTAATGATAAATTATATAGAATCACGAATCAATTTATTTCAGTGGGTAAATGAATCGTTGTTGTTTTTAGGAATCATGGTAGGGATGGCAAACGGGCGGGACGGGTGCGGATACCCCTCCCCCATCCCCATACTCACCTAATATTTTTCAATCTACCACCCGCCCACCACCCATGATAGGTGCAAATTTTCAAATCCACATCCGCCCACGTGGGTACATTCTTAAATCCATCCCCACACCCACTACCCACTAGTGACGTACCCGTCTAGACCCGTATGAAATCAAACTTAAGTTATATATAAGCAACAAACATAAAAAACATATCCATTAAGAAACATAATAAAATAATCCAAAGATTATCTGAGTTAAGTGTTAATATAGATCTTAAAGTACATAAAACACCATAATAAAAGACATAATTAAAGTTTAAAAACATAAATGACAAACACATAATGTAACCCCCTAGACCCGGCCTATGCGTTTCGACTAAATCTAGTAGATCACAAAGACATTTTCCAAAACCGTTATCCAATCAATGTAAAATCACATTATTCATGACATGAAATTATAATAAATTATACTATTAAAACTCAACTCTTAAATATAAAACCAATCAGTAATAAATTAATTTAAAATATATCTTAAAAATCAAAACCACGATAAACTGAATAGTAATAGCAAAAGTATCATCATTATAAAATCCAATACTTTAAAATAGGTCCATGTCACCAGAATAAAGTCAACTTGCAAGATTAAAATATTACAATCAGATGTACTTCAAGAGATATGTTGATCCTCCAAGTGCTCAAACCGAGTTATCTAACCAACAATATCTGAAAGGGGAAAAACATTTTTGAAAGGTGAGCTAGGCTCAGTGTGTCCCAACATTACCATAAAATCACAATAGGTACATTAAACAAATCATAGTCCAGTAAATCTCACAAATTCGTAAAAGAGTTTAACTTTTGAAAATTATAGTTTAAACCCTTTTCTGGTACACCATCGGTAGTTCCCAAAATTATTTTCCATATAGCTTACTTTATGCACATAGCAAAAAGAAAGCCGATTTAAGGATAGGCTATGAAGTTTGTATCCTTAAGCCCAAGTCAATAAGTCCATATAGCTTACCCTAAGCACACAGTAAAGGAAAGCCAACCTAATGAAACATCTTGGGACCCTCAAGAGTCACATTAGGCCCGTTTATTAGCTTGATCAGAGCTATATAATTGTAGTTCAATCCATCCCAAAATCAATATCCATATACCAGTTATCAAAGTTCATAAATCTTCAACAATAAATCGGTGTACCAACAATAATAATCCATAAATTTCAATGTACCATATTTCAAAACATATAAAATCATTATGTAGTAAATAGGAACACACCTCGATAAAGGGTTCAAATAGTAGATCTACTGATTGCTGGTTTCACCACGCTCTGCTACAGTTTTCGAACGGGTGAATACTGGTATGCGTGGTTTAACTGATCTAGAAGAGCTGGGTCGAGCTATCAAATGATCCGGAGAGTCTCTTTTACCTTCAAACAATAATAATTAATCAGCCACAAATCTTACTTAATTGTTCAAAGCTAAAATTCTTAAGTATATAAGCATTTTTCGGGTTTGACTATCATTTTGGGGTATTTTGAGTCTGAATTTGGTCAAACGGATTGTGGAATCGGAATCAGGACGTCGAAAAACATAAAGTATGACTTTTCGAAAATTCATATTATTGGTCAAAGTCAAAGTCAACCACTTTGACCGTCAATTTGGAGGCCTTCGGGTTCGAATTTGACAAAACGGACTTCGGGACGTCGAAAACTATTAGAATAGGTGTACTCGGAAAATATTTACGGTCGTTTAAGGGTCGGTCAAAGCCAATTTAAGTTTTGGTCAAAGGAAGTCAACGGTCAACGTCGGGTCGGGTCGGGTCAGTCGAGTAGGGTCAGACCGGTCAAACCGATTCATATCGGTCAAATCGGTTCGAACCGATCGAAATCGGTCAGAACCGGTTGAAAACCGGTCAAACCGGTTTCCAGTCCTCCACTCTCCCTGCGGCGGCGCGTGTGGCGCGTGAGGCCTCCTCCGGGGGTCTAAAAATTCCGGAAAAATTTCTAAAAATTATTTTGAGCGATTTCGAGATACTTACAAAGATCGGTTCAAATTTTTGAACGGCGGAGACCTCGATTTCAACTCGGTCGAATCTTTGACTACTCTACCTCCTCACGCGCCACCGTCGACGGCGAACAAGGTTGACACCGGTGGACTCGAAACTACACAAGGAACACGATGGTGCAGGAGGTGTCGTAAACGGAGCAACGATCGGCGGTGAATTTAAGATTTTCCTGGTAATAGAGCAACGATCGGAGGTGTCGTAAACGTCAAGACTTTGATTGTAAATTCCCGACGTTTGGCAGCGTTTCGCTTCAATTAAATTGAAGGGTTTGTTCCTCGCTCGATGATGAACACAACGGTGGTTTTAAAACGACGATCAGAATTCGAACGGCGTCTGGATCGGGGTCGGAAATGGACATAGGGGAAAGGGAATTTGGGGTCAGAAAACCACCCACGCATATAACATATATAACCAAAATTTACCTAATTTTATTGGGTAAATTCAGGGCTTAGTCTCTGAATTTTCTTTAACTCTAAAACAAGCTCCAAATTTTAAAATCTTTCAATTTAGTCCCCAATTTTCGCCAATTTTTACAATTAACCTCCAATTTCAATTAAATATTATTTTTGTAAAAATTCGGGTTGTTACAATTCTCCCCCTCTACAAGAAATTTCATCCTCGAAATTTACC